CGTAAGGTACGTCGTGAAACTCCTCCAATAGGATCTGCCGTAGCGGGGCGTAATTCGGTACCCAAATCTTTCCTGTGCCCTTCCTTACAGCTAAGTCTTTCTCCCACTGTAACAGCTTCTTGGTCTGTGCTGTAGCAATCTCTGCGTCCACGGAGTACCCATGTTGGAACAGACCCTTGAGTAGAGGGTTCATCCCGTCGAGCTGGATGCCTGCTACATGACCGGGGCGGCTCAACGCGTCTGCTTTGTTGTGGAGCCCGGGCTTGTAGACGATGTCGTAGTGGAAGTGAGTTTCCAAGAAGTCCACCCACCGCACCTGTCGTCGTGAGAGCGTTGGCTGCGACTTCAGGTATTTGAGACTGCAGTGGTCAGTATAGACTGTAGTCTTTGCTCCCTCTAGGTAACACCTCCACGCCTTGAAGGCTATGACTATCGCTAAGGCTTCCTTGTCATGGATGGGGTAGTTCAGTACTGCTCCGACTGCCTGGTCACTAGCGTCTGCTTCCACCACGTAGTCCTTGTCTGGATCCGTTAAGATGAGTACTGGCGCTGTAGTCAGTGCTGTCTGTTTGTTTAGTGCGCGGTAGTCGATGCACATCCGTAAACTACCGTCTGGCTTTGGAGTGAGGAGAACTGGTGCACCGTAGGGAGAGGTGGATGGGCGGATCAGTTGTCTGTCCAGTAGAAACTCTATCTGTTTTTTCATGTCTGTCAGTTCAGTCGGACTCAGTCGGTATGGTGCACGTGAGACGGGTTTCGCACCTGGTTCCTCCACGATCTCGTGCTCGTGGGTGCGTGCTGGAGGTACGCCTGCGGGTAGGTCGTCGGGCATTATATCCTTGTACTGCTCCAAGACCTCCTCCTCTGCTGCTGCCATAACCAGTGCTAAGTAACCCGTGTTACTCTCGTTCACTGTCCGTTCGAACTGTGCCAGTGTCGTTTCAGGAACGCTCCCTGTATCCGTCCAGCTTCGCAGCTCCACTCGTTTCCCGTTGTTGTAGATGCACGTTTTCCGGTTGACCTTGTCGATCTCGGGGTTGAACCGCTTCAGAAAATTTCGCCCCAAGATGAAATCTAATCCCTTGATGTTCGTGATCAGCAACGTCGGCTTCCACCTCAACGCCCCTATCTGCAGCTGCAGTGTTGACTTGCCGTGGATGGGAAGCTTCGTACCGTCCACCATCGTTGCTGTAAATTGGGTTTCTTCTGAGGATTCTCCGATTTTCTCCAACGTCCCGCGGTCGCACACCGAGTGGGACGCACCACTGTCCACCAGGGCCTGGAGGCGACGCCCGTTGCAGATCACCTCGAGTACTAGTGGTTGCTGCTGCTCCGAGTATCTGTCGATGGTATCGCTTGTAGGGTCGTAGGGTACGTTGAATATGTTATCCCTAGGTCCTGCGCTCGAAGATGCAGCTTCAGTATCAGTTTTCAACTGAGAAAGGTTAGAAGGATTTATCCGAGGCCGATTCGGCTTCTCTTGGGCCTGGAACCTTCCACTAAGCCTTTGCAGCTGTGTAGCCTTCATCTGTGGGGAACAGGGAGCCTTTAAACAGTGCTGCTGGGAGAGAATATTAACTCCTCGGAACGCTCGACCCGTATTAGCGCTCTGGAGTAGGGTCCCCATAATACCCGGTACCGGTTTAATTTCTGACTCTCCCTTAATAAAGGCTTGAAACCCACGAGAAGTAATATTCTTACTTGTCGGGGTATACGGCTGGAGTTTCCCGGTCGGTGCAGGGTCTTGTTTCGCGGATCCTCCATTAGTCTCGGCGATTTCCCCTGGTGCCGGCTGGTCGTGACGTTTTAAATTTGCGCCACCATATTCTCCTTTTTTCGCCCTCTCCGAAGTTGCCACGTTGTCCGTTTTCTGCTTCGGGGGTGCCGCACTGTTCTTGTCCTTCAGCTCCGCACACCTTCTCTTCATTTTCCAACACGCCAAGATACGATGTCCTGTAGCGCCGCAAAATTTGCACGTCTCATTATTTGCTAGCCGCTGCTCCACATCGCCCTCGTCGTTCTCCATCGGGTCGGCAGTCGTGGGTGGTGCCAATCGCCCCATGCCACTAGTTGGCTTGTTGCGTCGTGTTCCGTAGTAGCTACTGTTCAACGTGTCGAACTGTTCGATCAGTGCTGCCGGAAACTGCGTCCACGTCACCTCGCCTTGGACTATTCTGTTGTTGATCCTCTCTAGAGCTGGGCCTCGTAACAGTGTTGCTGCGAGCCGTATGCGCATTGCGTCTTTTGTCGGGGTCGTGCATCCAACGGCTTCGAAGTAAATTTCGAGTTCAGCTACAAATCGACAAACGTCGTTCCTTTTTACTGTAGGATCGAACGCCTCCGGTAGCCTCCGCTCCACTGCTTCGAGGTTAACTGTAGCTGCTGCCGTTGTCGCATGTAGAATTGTCGGTGTTGCCGCTGCTGCTGCTGCTACTGTTGTCGCTGCTGCTGTGGCGGTTGCCGACTGGTTCGCAAGGAGTTTTTCGAGTCGTGGGAGCGCCGCATGTATTTGCTTATGCTCAGCACGTAACTCCGTGATTTTCTGTACTGAAATATCTCCTTTTCCCTCCATTTGGCGATTTACAGGAAGATGCGCGACGAAAATAATCGAATTCTAGGTGCTGGTCGACTTACTGCGCGAATTCTGTAGGTCGCGTATATCTCCCCTGGGCGAAATTCGCGTCCGATCTTGGCCGTTGAGGAGAAAATCAATCCGACGCTCCAAATTCCAACTTTTTTGGGCGAAATTCTCTGGGCCGTTGAGATGAAACTCGATCGAACGGTCGAAACTCCAACCATTCCACCAGTAAATCTGAGGAGTGTTCGAAAACCGAATCGAGGGGGACTTAGAAAAATTGCGCGGAACTGGTTTTACATACCCGTATCGGCGCTTTCGTCGTCGCCCCCGCGGTTTTTTAAAGGCCGGAACTAAGCGGTTGAAGACCTCGCGTGAAAACCCGCTCTGATTACCAAGTGTGAGGATCTAGGATCGAGCTCAGAAAAGAGAATTGTAATTGAATGAATCACCTGGGTACAACACGAGGCTATATATAGGCTCGACACAAGGCCCCGTAACCAGGTGTTACGCGAAGGTTCCGCGGGTCGCGAAGCGTCCCGAACAGATCCTTACCGAATTCGGTAGAAGGCAATTCGGTGGCCGCCGAAAAGCCAGAATTCGGTTCACGCAACCTAGCTCGGTGCTATAACTATAATAAAATATAGGAAAGCACCTAGCCTAGGAAAGCAAGCAATTCATGCATGCATATGATTATCCTATGCTAGAAATAGCATAATAAAGTAAAGGCAAGCAAGCATAGCTGGCATAAGCCGTCGTACTCTCACACTTTCCATCACCCCGCCCCATTCTCCCGCTTTCCATCACCCCGCCCCATTCTCCTGCTTTCCAACACCCCGCCCCATACTCCCTCCTTCCATCACCCCGCCCCATTCTCTTGCTTTCCATCACCCCGCCCCATTCTCCCTCCTTCCATCATATCGCCCCATTCTCCCGCTTTCCATCACCCCGCCCCATTCTCCCGCTTTCCATCACCCCGCCCCATTCTCCCGCTTTCCATCACCCCGCTCCATTCTCCCGCTTTCCATCACCCCGCCCCATTCTCCCGCTTTCCATCACACCGCCCCATTCTCCCGCTTTCCATCACCCTTCCCCACTCTCCCGCTTTCAATCACCCCGCCCCATTCTCCCGCTTTCCATCACCCCGCTCCATTCTCCCGCTTTCTGTCACCCCACCCCATTCTCCCTCCTTCCATCACCCCACCCCATTCTCCCTCCTTCCATCACCCCGCCCCATTCTCCCTCCTTCCATCACCCCGCCCCATTCTCCCGCTTTCCATCACACCGCCCCATTCTCCCGCTTTCCATCACCCTTCCCCACTCTCCCACTTTCAATCACCCCGCCCCATTCTCCCGCTTTCCATCACCCCGCTCCATTCTCCCGCTTTCTGTCACCCCACCCCATTCTCCCTCCTTCCATCACCCCACCCCATTCTCCCTCCTTCCATCACCCCGCCCCATTCTCCCTCCTTCCATCACCCCGCCCCATTCTCCCGCTTTCCATCACCCCGCCCCATTCTCTCGCTTTCGATCACCCCGCCCTATTCTCCCGCTTTCCATCACCCCGCCCCATTCTCCCGCTTTCAATCACCCCGCCCCATTCTCTCGCTTTCCATCACCCTGCCCCATTCTCCCGCTTTCCATCTCCCCGCCCCATTCTCACTCCTTCCATCACCTCGCCCCATTCTCGCTCCTTTCATCACCCCGCCCTATTCTCCTGCTTTCCACCACCCCACCTCATTCTCCCGCTTTCCATCACCACGCCCCATTCTCCCGCTTTCCATCACCCTGCCCCATTCTCCCGTTTTCCATCACCCCGCCCCATTCTCCCGCTTTCCATCACCCCGCCCCATTCTCACGCATTCCATCACCCTGCCCCATTCTCCCGCTTTCCATCACCCCGCCCCATTCTCCCGCTTTCCATCATCCCGCCCCATTCTCCTGCTTTCCATCACCCCGCCCCATTCTCCCTCCTTCCATCACCCTGCCCCATTCTCCCGCTTTCCATCACCCCGCCCCATTCTCCCGCATGTGCGGCTCCTTTCGCGTTTTGGCGGTGGAAGCGCTCTTTCCGAGCGTTTTTCTTCCGCCGGGTCACGTGGCTGCGCTTGTCTGGTCCTATTACCAAGCCAGCAAGGGCGTGGAAGGGTCGCAAGCATCATCGGTCATCGGCGCTCGCGAATGAAGAGCACTCGCTGCACTTCCTGCACAAGTGCGGCTCTTTCCGCGTTTTGGGGGTGGAAGCGCTCGTTCCGAGCGTTTTTCTTCCCCCGGGTCACGTGGGTGCGCTGTTCTGGTCCAATTACCAAGCCAGCAAGGGCGTGGGAGGGTTGCAAGCATCATCGGTTTTCGGCGCTCGCGAATGAAGAGCGCCCGCTGCACTTCCTTCACATGTTCGGCTACTTCCGTGTTCTGGGGGTGGAAGCGCTCGTTCCGAGCGTTTTTCTTCCGCCGGGTCACGTGGTTGCGCTTCTGGTCCTATTACCAAGCCAGCAAGGGCGTGGAAGAGCTGCAAGCATCATCGGCCATCAGCGCTCGCGATGAAGAGCGCCCGCTGCACTTCCTGCACAAGAGCGGCTCCTTCCGCGTTTTGGTGGTGGAAGCGCTCGTTCCGAGGGTTTTTCTTCCGCCGGGTCACGGGGCTGCGCTTGTCTGGTCCTATTACCAAGCCAGCAAGGGCTTGGGAGGGTTGCAAGCATCATCGGTCATCGGCGTTCGCGAATGAAAAGCGCCCGCTGCACTTCCTGCACATGTGCAGCTCCTTCCGCGTATTGGGGGTGGAAGCGCTTGTTCTGAGCGGTTTTCTTCCGCCCGGTCACGTGGCTGCGCTTGTCTGGTCGTATTACCAAGCCGGCAAGGGCGTGGGAGGGTCGCAAGCATCATCGGTCATCGGCGCTCGCGAATGAAGAGCGCCCGCTGCACTTCCTGCACAAGTGCGGCTCCTTCCGCGTTTTGGGGGTGGAAGCGCTCGTTCCGAGCGGTTTTATTCCTCCGGGTCACGTGGCTGCGATTGTTTGGTCCTATTACCAAGCCAGCAAGGGCGTGGGAGGGTTGCAATCATCATCGGTCATCGGCGCTCGCGAATGAAGAGCGCCCGCTGCACTTCCTTCATATGTTCGGAGAGTTTTGCTTCCGCCGGGTCACGTGGCTGCGCTTCTGGTCCTATTACCAAGCCAGCAAGGGCGTGGAAGAGCTGCAAGCATCATCGGCCATCGGCGCTCGCGAATGAAGAGCGCCCGCTGCACTTCCTGCACAAGTGCGGCTCCTTCTACGTTTTGGTGGTTGAAGCGCTCGTTCCGAGGGCTTTTCTTCTGCCGGGTCACGGGGCTGCGCTTGTCTGGTCCTATAACCAAGCCAGCAAGGGCGTGGGAGGGTTGCAAGCATCATCGGTCATCGGCGCTCGCGAATGAAGAGCGCCCGCTGCACTTCCTGCACAAGTGCGGCTCCTTCCGTGTTTTGGAGGTGGAAGCGCTTGTTCCGAGCGGTTTTCTTCCGCCAGGTCACGTGGCTGCGCTTGTCTGGTCTTATTTCCAAGCCAGCAAGGGCGTGGGAGGGTCGCAAGCATCATCGGTCATCGGCGCTCGCGAATGAAGAGCGCCCGCTGCACTTCTTGCACATGTGCGGCTCCTTCCGCGTTTTGGGGGTGGAAGCGCTCGTTCCGAGCGGTTTTCTTCCGCCGGGTCACGTGGCTGCGCTTGTCTGGTCCTATTACCAAGACAGCAAGGGCGTAGGAGGGTTGCAATCATCATCGGTCATCAGCGCTCGCGAATGAAGAGCGCCCGCTGCACTTCCATGTTTTGGGGGTGGAAGCGCTCGTTCCGAGCGGTTTTCTTCCGCCGGGTCACGTGGCTGCACTTGTCTGGTCCTAAACCCAAGCGAGCAAGGGCGTGGGAGGGTCGCAAGCATCATCGGTCATCGGCGCTAATGAATGAAGAGCGCCCGCTGCACTTCCTGCACGTGTGCGGCTCCTTCCGCGTTTTAGGGGTGGAAGCGCTCGTTGCGAGCGTTTTTCTTCCGCCGGGTCACGTGGCTGCGCTTGTCGGGTCCTATTACCAAGCTAGCAAGGGCGTGGGAGGGTTGCAAGCATCATCGGTCATCGGCGCTCGCGAATGAAGAGCGTCCGCTGCACTTCCTGCACATGTGCGGCTCCTTCCGTGTTTTGGGGGTTGAAGCGCTCGTTCCGAGCGTTTTTCTTCTGCCGGGTCACGTGGCTGCGCTTGTCTGGTCCTATTACCATGCCAGCAAGGGCGTGGGAGGGTTGCAAGCATCATCGGTCATCGGCGCTTGCGAATGAAGAGCGCCCGCTGCACTTCCTGCACATGTGCGGCTCCTTCCGCGTTTTGGGGGTGGAAGCGCTCGTTCCGAGCGGCTTTCTTCCGCCGGGTCACGTGGCTGCGCTTGTCTGGTCCTATTACCAAGCAAACAAGGGCGTGGGAGGGTTGCAAGCATCATCGGTCATCGGCGCTGGCGAATGAAGAGCGCCCGCTGCACTTCCTGCACATGTGCGGCTCCTTCCGCGTTTTGGGGGTGGAAGCGCTGGTTCCAAGCGGTTTTCTTCCGCCGGGTCACGTGGCTGCGCTTGTCTGGTCCTATTACCAAGCCAGTAAGGGCGTGGGAGGGTTGCAAGCATCATCGGTCATCAGCGCTCGCGAATGAAGAGCGCACGCTGCACTTCCTGCACATGTGGGGCTCCTTCCGCGTTTTGGGGGTGGAAGCGCTCGTTCTGAGCGTTATTCTTCCGCCGGGTCACGTGGCTGCGCTTGTCGGGTCCTATTACCAAGCCAGCAAGGGCGTGGGAGGGTGGCAAGCATCATCGGTCATCGGCGCTCGCGAATGAAGAGCGCCCGCTGCACTTCCTACACATGTGCGGCTCCTTCCGCGTTTTGGGGGTGGAAGCGCTCGTTCCGAGCGTTATTCCTCCGCCGGGTCACGTGGCTGCGCTTGTCTGGTCCTATTACCAAGCCAGCAAGGGCGTGGGAGGGTTGCAAGCATCATCGGTCATCGGCGCTCGCGAATGGAGAGCGCCCGCTGCACTTCTTGCACATGTGCGGCTCCTTCCGTGTTTTTGGGGTGGAAGCGCTCGTTCCCAATGGTTTTTTTCCGCCGGGTCACGTGGCTGCGCTTGTCTGGTCCTGTTACCAATCCAGCAAGGGCGTGGGAGGGTTGCAAGCATCATCGGTCATCGGCGCTCGCGAATGAAGAGCGCCCGCTGCACTTCCTGCACATGTGCGGCTCCTTTCGTTTTTTGGGGGTGGAAGCGCTTGTTCCGAGCGTTTTTCTTCCGCCGGGTCACGTGGCTGCGCTTGTCTCATCGTATTACCAAGCCAGCAAGGGCGTGGGAGGGTCGCAAGCATCATCGGTCATCGGCGCTCGCAAATGAAGAGCGCCCGCTGCACTTCCTGCACATGTGCGGCTCCTTCCGTATTTTGGGGGTGGAAGCGCTCGTTCCGAGCGTTTTTCTTCTGACGGGTCACGTGGCTGCGCTTGTCTGGTCCTATTACCAAGCCAGCAAGGGCGTGGGAGGGTTGCAAGCATCATCGGACATCGGCGCTCGCAAATGAAGAGCACCCGCTGCACTTTCTGCACATGCTTTCTTGGACCAAGTGCTTGCTTGGACCAAGTGCTTTCCTTGGACCAAGTTCTTGCTTCGACCAAGTGCTTGCTTGGACCAAGTGCTTTCATGGACCAAGTGCTTTCTCGGACCAAGTGCTTTCTTGGACCAAGTGCTTTCTTGGTCCAAGTGCTTTCTTGGACCAAGTGCTTGCTTGGACCAAGTTCTTTCCTCGACCAAGTGCTTGCTTGGACCAAGTGCTTGCTTGGACCAGGTGCTTGCTTGGACCAAGTGCTTGCTTGGACCAAGTGCATTCTTGGACCAAGTGCTCGCTTGGACCAGGTTCTTTCTTGGACCAGGTGCTTGCTTGGACCAAGTGCTTGCTTGGACCAGGTGCTTGCTTGGACCAAGTGCTTGCTTGGACCAAGTGCTCTCTTGGACCAAGTGCTTGCTTGGACCAATTGATTTCTTGGACCAAGTGCTTGCTTGGACCAAGTCCTTTCTTGGACCAAGTGCTTTCTTGGACCAAGTGCTTGCTTGGACCAAGGGCTTTCCTGGACCAAGTGCTTGCTTGGACCAAGTGCTTGCTTGGACCAAGTCCTTGCTTGGACCAAGTGCTTGCTTGGACCAAGTGCTTTCCTGGACCAAGTGCTTTCTTGGACCAAGTGCTTTCTTGGACCAAGTGCTTGCTTGGACCAAGTGCTTTCTTGGACCAAGTGCTTTCTTTGACCAAGTGCTTGCTTCGACCAACTACTTGCTTGGACCAAGTGCTTTTCTTGGACCAAGTGCTTTCTTGGACCAAGTGCTTGCTTGGACCAAGTGCTTTCTTGGACCAAGTGCTTGCTCGGACCAAGTGCTTGCTCAGACCAAGTGCTTTCTGGGACCAAGAACTTGCTTGGACCAAGTGCTTGCTTGGACCAAGGGCCTTCTTGGACCAAGTGCTTGCTAGGACCAAGTGCTTTCCTGGACCAAGTGCTTGCTTGGACCAAGTGCTTTCTTGGACCAAGTGCTTGCTTGGACCAAGTGCTTTCTTGGACCAAGTGCTTTCCTGGACCAATTGCTTTCTTCGACCAAGTGCGTGCTTCGACCAAGTACTTGCTTCGACCAAGTGCTTGCCCGGTCCAGGAGCTTGCCTGGTCTAGGAGCTTGCCTGGTCCAGGAGCTTGCCTAGTCCCGGAGCTTGCCTGGTCCAGGAGCTTGCCTGGTACAGGAGCTTGCCTGGTCCAGGAGATTGCTTGGTCCAGGAGCTTGCCTGGTTTAGGAGCTTGCCAGGTCCAGGAGCTTGCCTGGTCCAAAACCTTGCATGGTTTAAGAGCCTGCCTGGTCCAGGAGCCTGCCTGGTCCAAGAGCTTGCGTGGTCCAGAAGCTTGCCTGGTCCAAGAGCTTGCCTGGACCAAGAGCTTGCCTGGTCCAGGAGCTTGCCTGGTCTAGGAGCTTGCCTGGTCGGTGAACTTGCATGGTCCGTGAGCTTGCCTGGTCCAGGAGCGTGCCTGGTGAAGAAGTGTTCCTGGTCCAGGAGCTTGCCTAGTCCAGGAGCTTGCCTGGTCCAGGAGCTTGCCTGGTCAAGGAGCATTCCTGGTCCAAGAGCTTGCTTGGTCCAAGAGCTTGGCTGGTCCAGGAGCTTGCCTGGTCTAGGAGCTTGCCTGGTCTAGGAGCTTGCCTGGTCCAGGAGCTTGCCTGGTCCAGGAGCTTGCTTGATCTTGGAGCTTGCATGGTCCAGGAGCTTGCCTGGTCCTGGAGCTTGCCTGGACCAAGACCTTGCCTGGTCAAGGAGCTTGCCTGGTCCAGGAGCTTGCCTGGTCCAGGAGCTTGGATGGTCCTTGAGCTTGCCTGGTCCATGAGCTTTCCTGGACCAAGAGCTTGCCTGGTCCAGGAGCTTGCCTGGTCCAGGAGCTCGTGGTCCAGGAGCTTGCCTGGTCTAGGAGCTTGCCTGGTCCAGGAGCTTGCCTGGTCCAGGAGCTTGCCTGGTCCAAGAGCTTGTCTGGTACAAGAGCTTGCCTGGTCCAAGAGCTTGCCTGGTCCAGGAGCTTGCCTGGTCCATGAGCTTGCCTGGTCAAGGAGCTTGCCTGGTCCTGGAGCTTGCCTGGTCCAGAAGCTTACCTGGTCCAAGAGCCTACCTGGTCCAAGGGCTTGCCTGGTCCAAGAGCTTCCCTGTTCCAGGAGCTTGCCTGATC